CCCCCCCCCACTCACCCACTCCACCATGTGCCTCTAGCTCGGCACCCCCAAACCCGCCATGTGCCCCCCTGGGCCAGCCCCCAGCTCACCAGGGACACGAGGTTCCAGGGGTGCTTGCGGCGGAAGTCGCCGCAGCAGCTGAGGACAATGAGGGAGATGAAGAACACGGCATAGGACACGTAGTACGTCCACACATTGCGCTGCACGAAGCCCCGCACGCCTTTGACGAAGGTGAAGACGGTCACGAAGGCGAAGGTGACGGTCAGCTGCAGCGTGAGCACCAGGAACACCTGGGGACAGGGGCAGGTCACAGGGGGCCCCCACCGCCCCGTGCTCCCCCCTAGAGCTCCCCGTGTCTCACCTTGCGGATGAAGGCCTGTCGGATGCTCTTGTCATCCCAGTGCGCTGACGGGAAGTCCTGGTTGTCATAGTAGGAGGGGGGCCCGTCCTCGTGGTAGGTGCTGTGCAGGGGGGCTGTGGGGAGGGAGGGAGGGAGGGACACCACTGAGTGGGGCTGGAGGTCCCAGGGGCATCCCAGGGGCCGTGGGGAGCAGGGCTCTGTGTCCCTCAAAGCCAGGCGTCACAGCTGACATGGCCCCGGGCAGCGTCTCCCTACCCAGGGTCATGGCTAGCAATGTCCCCAGTGGGCAGGGCCCACCCCGAGTGCCCCCCGGGACATGTGGGGCAGGAGCCAGGATTCGCAGGGGAATCCCCTGTTGCCCCGCTCAGGACCCCTGAGCTGTGTGACCTGCCAGACCCACCCTCAACATCCACACAGCTGAGCCACAACAGGGACAGTGCTGCCAAAACAGGTCCCTCCTGCAGGGGAGCCCCCCAGGGCTGCCATCAGTGCCCACACACCTGGAGCCCACAAACTCCAACAGGAGCCAGAGGGGAGGGCTGTATACACCATCCAGAGCCCCCCAGCAAGGAGCCAGGGCAGTTGTACACCCCCCTGGGAGCACCCCGTAGGGAATCCAAACGGGGGTCGTACACCCACTGGGAGCCCCCCAGGCATGAGCCATACACTCATTTGGAGTCCCCCAGCCAGGAGCATACCCCCTGCCCCCCCTCCCCCCTTCCTTCCCTGGTACTTACAGTCCTGGTCGCCGGGGACCATGGGCTGGGGCTGGGCATAGGGCGGCTGCCCGTAGGGGCCCTGGGGGTACGGCCCAGGTGGTGGGTATGGCCCTGAAGGGTATGGCCCGGCGGGGGGGTACGGCCCTGGCGGCGGATATGGCCCTGGCCCCTGTGTGAAGCCTGGCTGGGGGTAGGGCGCAGGGGCGAACTGGGGCTGGGGGTACGGGGCGACAGGGTAAGGGGGCTGCGCGTAGGCTGGGGGGGCCGTCGGCTGCTGCCCCGCGAAGCCGTCATTCGTCACCAGGAAACTCTTCTCGTGGGACATCTTGTCCCGCAGGCTGCGGCCGCCTTTGTGCTGGGGAGGGGGGAGAGGGGGTCAGAGTCGGCGTCCTCAGCCCCTGTGGCCATCACCGTCCTCCTCCTCAGCCCCCACAGTCATCAACCCCACTACGGCTATCACTTCCCCACAGCCATCATCCCCCACCTCCACCACCCTCCCCAGCCATCACCCCCTCCAGCCATCGCCCCCTCCTCACAGTCATCGCCCCTCTCCCCATCACTTCCCAACAGACATCAAACCCCCACAGCTATCACCCCCCTCCGCATCACCACC